GCCTTCTATTAAATTTTCAAGCTTTTTTAACCAACTAATACATTTTTATTGATATTCATAAGAAAAAAACTAATAAAATGTCAAACTGAAAATGTCCCTAAACAGTTCAAAATAAATCAAAATATTTTGAAAATGTTATCGTGTATAGAAAATGTAAATATAAACAACCAGTTGAAACCAGTTGAAACCAGTTGAAGAAAATCCAAGCACTTTTACAGTCCTAAAAGGTGATGACAGACACACAAAAATAAAAAACACACATCATTGTAAAATCAACGCTCATATCAAATATTGATACATCATATATTATTTTAGGCTAGAAATTTGTATTCCGAAGAAGTGATACTACTAAATCAGCTAATTGTGTGTTCTGATAATGAACCTAAAAGTAGTTTTAAAGTAACACAGACCCTGATCTAAGTACAATATTTTATGTTAGATTATTTTGTACCTATAAGTTGTTTGATTATTAAATAAAATACACTTATGCGAGTTATGCCCGTTAGTTATTGTTCTAGCAGTTTGGTAACTATTCTTGATAATTAAATCAAAATATAAACCCAAAATGTTGAAATTAATATTTATTTTATTTGTTATTTCTGCATAGTTGATTGAATTAAATACATTTTAACATTCTTTTTAAGCCACAATATTTTATTAGGTAGGTACCTGGTTATGTTATTACTTATTTGTAATGGAGAATCAGTATCAGATTTCAACAAATCTACCTTCTCAAACACAAACACCTCAAGGAACATGAATTGGTTTTACTCTTTAATTAACATTCGAAAGACTTAAACAGGTAAACAGCCATTTATTAATCATAGAAATAAACAAGGTATGATCATGTATTGATCACCAAAAATTTGAAAAAATTCAATTCTAAGTATTTTTTTTTTTTAAATGTGCTTTACGAAAAAAATTTAGTTTTTGAAGTTTTTCATCAATAACTTCAAAACGAAGTTGGTCCGGGCTTTTTTTCTTACATTCTTAAAAATCACCCTTCAATACTCATATTGAAAAAAAAAAGTTGCTAAACCGCAGAATCGTTCCTAAATCTGTACTAAGAGTACCTACCTACATTACTTATTATATAGTATTGTATTGTATTGTTATATCAATATAAAATGTCGCTCGCGTCTTAATTTTTGGGTTTCTATTCAAATTACTTACCGGTAAAAAAATATAAGCTTACCGCCACTGCATTAAGTGCCATCGCTGCCATCACAAAACCTCTCCATTTCTCTCTATCATATTCGTCGTCTTCTTCTATGGTTTTGATATCTTGAGCTATAACGTCCACCCATTGGATCCTTGGTCTTACTAATGGACGTTCTTTAATTTATTTTGATAACTAATTATTATAATACGCATACTATTAGTATATTTCAAATTTCTAATAGATCTATTGGGTTTTTATTTGTATGATTAATAAATGGCTGTTTAAGTCTTGCGAATAACAAATAACATAACGTATTCCTATATATTTTTACTATATTATTTTATGAAACTTTAATTTTCTAAAATATTCAAGTATCTATATTAAATCTTTTACATACGACAATCAAGTTACTTAAATATTTGATTTTATCGATGTGGCAATGACCAACAAATAGTTAAATAATAAATTTACACTAATCTGCAGTATATACCATTATATATTTTACTACTCAGTAGTACTCTTACTATATTAAGCTGGTTGTAATATTGTATGCAATTTGTTGATAGGTACGTCAAATATTACATATAATACATTTGGTAAGAATTTAAATTGGTAAATATATAAACATGTAATATACAATTTAACGTAGTCGGTATTAGAGTTCATTTTATGGTGACCTGGTGAAGCGTGGTGATTGGATGCAGTCAATAATGTATTGTGCAGCGGTTGGGTAGGCTCCCTGCAGATGGGTGACCACCCGGGTTCTTTGTGACAATCCCTGCCTCACATACAAAAACGCGTACCTACCAATCCAAAAACCGAATGCGGTTGCAGAGTGTCAAGTTTATTTTCTGATTTATTTTTGCGACATAGTGAACTGCAAGTTAAACATAATGGTGTTGAATATTGTTCACATCAAAAATACGATACTATATAACCCTCCTAGTTATTCACCCAAGGACTTCAATTGGTTGCGATGAAAATAGTGTTTGCACCTTTTTATCTGCTAGTCAGAAATGTCAAAAAACAATAAAAACACTACATGTTTCCTTAAATTAATAGTATTCGTTATAAATTTAGTAAAATGTATAATAGTATAATAATTTTAAATTAATTGTTGTTTACCCAAATTAAATCTAAATTGACAATAGAATTGAACACGTTTTTAAATTATTAAAAAATAATCTTCTAGTTTAAATCGTGACGAAATGTATTTATTGAAAGATGATTTAAATCGGTGGTGGATTGTATTGAGGGGTAGGTACCTCAATAGGTACCTGTAATAGCCAATGCTATTACTAGTACAAAATAATTGAACAAACAGTACACAGTTTCGATGATAAGTAGTTAATATGTATATTTATAGAGTTGCTAAGATAATAGTTTGCAACTTCAAAGGCTGCAAAACAATGCACACATATACAAATACGAATCGTATAATATAACTAGTGTAAAATCGTTATAACATAACTGGTCCAGTACAATATTTTGATTACGGAATTAAATAATTTAAAAATATATAATATTATTAGTATAAAAGTGAATTAAAACTAATTACGAGGAACAAAAGTTGTATAAATTAACCGACGCGCGATCGTAGGGTTTGCCGAACGGACTTTTTTTTAATTTTATACTATATAATAATATATACACCTTAACTTTGCAGCAATCGTCTCGGAAAAGCAATTATAAACGGTGTGCATGCCAAAATGGGGTTTGCTGGAAAATCAACAGTCGGCGATTTAAGTTTGGATAATATGCGCTGCTACAGGGGAGGAATACGCGTGGTAAAAATATTTCAAATTTTCCAGTAAGGTTTTTCCAACACTTCTATTACACTGTCGAGGAGATTCTCTCACTTCTGTACCTACCTATAAATTATATTACACTGAATTCTTGTAATTTGTATGACATTCCGAACCGATTTTCATAGACGATGATGCAAAAGACTGCGAATTCGGCATCTGCGAGTCCCGACATTTAGAAGAGTTATACGTCGTATTGTAAAGGGTTAGGTTAGGTACCTTTAATAACGGCTGGTATTTGCGGTAACTACAAGCAATTAAAATAACGATTTGTTGTTTATAACAATATTGTGCTTATATACAGACGAAAACAAAATGGTTCGAGTACCTACAACTCTAATACACTGTTTGTTATCATAATATGATAGTATTAAAATATTATTTTAATATCATAATATAGAAGCGTCATTCTACTCTAATATGCTGTATTATATTATATACGTATAAGATTTCGTTTCGAAGATACCTTACCTATATAATATATTTATGTGACAATCTAGAATACCAGTATATTATAATATTATATATTTATATATACCAACCTATATAATATGCGTTTAATCATGCGTTCCGGCAAACCCTTTCTACAATTTTTTTGAATTTTTTTTTTTTTTTTAATACCGTCACGTTGATAATAATAATAATAATAATAATAACAATGCATAATATAACACGCGCACCCTGTATTTTCAATCTTAATACAATATTATATAATTCAACATCAAAAATTACCCCGATTATTTGAATTGAACACCGTGTGACACGCGTTTTAAATACAATGCGTACCTTATACATAATATATCATATACATTATAGAATAACATAACATATAATAATAATAATAATAGTAATAATAATAAAATATTACATTGTTACACTTATGACTTATATATTATATTATGTACAGCGAAATTTCTTAATGGATAAAAGTACGATCTTTATTTATACATTATATACACGCTTTTTTGTGAGTATATACAATATGTACTACGTAAATAGTTACATAATATTATAATATTTATTATGGTCAGTGGTGCTGTTATCGATATTATATTATATGTGTTAGCAGTAATGTATGTAATATACGTTATATTTTATTAAATAACTAGTTATTCTATAAGATTCCTAAATATGCTCGTTAATTCATTATAAATTACACGGTTTTACTATAGTTAATAATATATATAATATAGGTACCAGTTGGGTTTTCGCTAAGGCATGTAATTTAAAGTCATCGTTGGGTTGATAACCCGCGAGACTGGAGTAGATAACATAAGTAGGTAATAGGTACAATATTTGTTATTAAATTGTCGTTGTAGTGTTATACCATGTTGTACAATTCAGTAAAAATCAGAATAAACTTTTTCGAAATTAATATTAATATTTTATATTTTATAGATTAAATAATAATTTCAAATACAATAACTAAACCGTTAGGTAGGTATTGATAATTTATAAAATATCTAATTAGTATGTAGAATAACTAGTTGAAGTACCTATGTATTTTTGTATTCATTCAATACATCAACTGAAAGTACCCGTAATTACGGAATTTCATACATTAACGCTAACATATATATTACACAGTCGATATGAGATGGATTTACAATAATTATAATAATATAGGGTTGTCCTGGATGCGGGTGAGCGGGTGCGCAAGGTGGTGGTAACCGTAACCGCGGTATAATAGTTAATGTATAATATAATATTATATTATAACAACACGCCTATATTGTGTATTATAATGATACGCGATCGCCTCACGCGTTGAATGCATAGTTTACTTAATTGTATACGGCAGAATAATAATAATATAATATGAGGAAGAGGTTTACCTTGTTTTATTCTGTACCCTGTTTTAGGAGTGTGTGTATGTGTAAGAGAGAGAGAGAGAGAGAGAGAGAGAGAATGAGAGAAAAAGTGTGAGTGTGTATAAGTGTTTGTGAGAGCGAGAGGCGGTGAAAATATTAGATTTTAATGTTTAACATAGGTATACAGTCGGCGGCGGTTACCTAACACACGCGGACCGCGGATCACGAAGGACAGCAGCCGGCATAACCGTGAACGGCCGCTGCAGCTGACCGGCGCAACGGTGGCCTGCCGAGCTCGGCGCCCAGTACGACGACAGCGGACAGGTCGTCGTCGCAGCTCTCGTACACCGAAGACGACGACGCGCTGTCGGCCGCCGGTGAACCGACCACATAGGCCGTCTCGCCAGCGCCGTCGTCGCAGCTGTACACGGGCGACTGTCGCCGTCGGCAGAACATCTCGTGTCGCTTGCGCCGATTGCTCCCGCTGGCCGAACAGGTCGACGGGTCGTCGTCGACCGGTGACGGGGTGGCCGTGTTCGTCGCTGTGGACGGCGGTGACAGTGACGGCGGCGGGTCACGCTTCCTCTCGATGAGCAAGTCGCCGACCACCTCACCCGTCTGCGAGTGCACTTGCAACACGTTGGTAGACCTGGGACGGACGACCGGCGCCGGCAAGACTTGTATACGGACCTCGGCTGCCGTTTCCGTCGCCGCGGCCGCAATCAGCCGGTGGTTGATGTCCACGATATCGTCGTCGTCGTCTTCGTCGTCGTCGTCACCGCCGCCACAGACGTCCACGGTGTCGGCGAACGCGACGGTCTTCTTGCCGGTCGAAGCGATCGAACAGCTACGGTGATCGCTGCGCTGCAACAACGACGGCACTGCAGGCGCGGACGCCAACACTTCCGGTTCCGGAAGCAGCACGCCGGCCGCCGTCAGACCTGAAACGACGGCCGCGTGGTGTTCGGGAGTCGCGTCCACGCTGGTCTGCTGAATGGAGCTGTGCAGCAGTCGCGTGCTGTGCGTCTTCAGGTCCAGCCTCAGGTAGTACGGGTTGTAGTAGTGCAGCGGCGCCATGTCGGGCAGCGGGTGCGCGTCCGGCCGGTCGACCGCGAACTGCTTGACGACCACGTACCGTCCCGGGTACGGTATGGGCGAGGGAGCCGCGCCGTGCCCGTCGCCGGACCCGGACGCGCCCCAGCCTTCGCCCCGGGACGCCGCGGCGTCGTCGCCCGGCTGGTCGGGCGTCAGTGGTTGCGCCGCGCCCCTACCGAACTGACAGTACCACTGAGCTTCTACCTCGTAATCTCATTTCTTCTCCTTTTGGTCCTTGTTCAGGTAGTGCAGCACGTAGTGCAACACCAGGTCATAACAGTACTTGTACTCAGTCTGAAACGACAACGGCAAAGGATTAACACATATTTTATTTATTTAGAACTATGCCCAATATAAGTTAGGTTAGCACTGCAGCATATATTGGTGGCACTGTCGGCAAACGAATACTATGGATACAGTGAATATAGGAATGGAAATTAAAAAAAATCTGCAGACAAACAAAATTTCATTTGAAATTATAGCTGGTACATGTGCGAACCATTAATTTTTCTTGTGCCACCAAACCCCGTTTTCTGATGTTGGGAGGGTCAAAAGTATAAATTTGCTCCCTCGAACAGAACCAGAAGGAGATAGTTTTACATCATGTCCCCTCACCTAAAAAGCCATCTATATGGGTAGCAGTTAATTTGTGCAATCAATTTCATCAACTGAAAAACAGTCTATATAGATCATTCTATTATTTACTAACCAATAAATGTCTAAATCGACTTTTCGTCCACACATATTATACAATTGTATAAACTGTTTTTTCAAAGTGCAGCTGTAACGGATCAAACAAATAATTCGGAAAACTGTTACTATTAGTATAATAGTATTATAAACTTGTTCGAAATCCTTTAAGAAATACATTTCGGAAAACATAATTTATATTCAAAATGTCAATGTAATATTATTACAGTAAAGGCATTGATTGTATGTGATTGTACTTGAACAAATTGTTTTTGGTCAAAATTATTTTACTCTCGAGTCTGGACTTAAAGATTTTCTGCGAAAAATATTGGACGAAATTTATTATGGTCAATACTTTGACGTACGTACATAAGTACAATAACATTTAGCTGACTATATAGTATATGAAACAATTTATAAATTCTTAAAATTGGAATAATGCGTTTCAATATTAAAAAAGTAATGAAGAGAATATCCTGCCAAGATAAACGAATAACGATTTCGTTGTAAAAAGTTTTGACGAAATATAGAATAACCAAAACGACGGCAATCGTATAATATGGTCCCCTCGGGTGCTTGTTATTCGTCGGAAACTGACGGTCTGATGACAATAACTGGTAGTGAAAGTCGTAAAAAACTTGAACATTTTTACTGATTCCGAAACACTGCAGGCGTACTGCGTACACGCACAATAATTTTAAGCAGAAATATAAAACTACGCATAATATACTGTAAATAATCGTTTATACGGACGAGACCGAATTTAAATTAACTTATTTGACTATACTGCGTAAGTTTAAAATTCAGAAAAATTTCATATTTAGAATCTGAGCGGAGCAATGAATGTATTGGTTTTACATTGAAGTGAGTTTTATATTTATTTTTGTGTCTGTCATATTATGTGGAGTAGTAAAAAGGCTTCGATTTTCAACATTGAGGGTGGTTTCTGGACTTCTGGTGGAAATTTGGAGCTAGTTTGTATGCTTCAAAGTTAAAAAATTAAAAAAATTGTCCAGTACTTACTAAAATTTAAAAATATTTTTTGCTCTTTTTGTGCAAATTATAGACACTTGAAATATAAGGTTCCTCTCAAGTTTTTCTTACATAAAATATCTAAAAATTTCAATACTTAATAGAAATTCCAAACTTATCGACATTCAATTCAAACTCTAATTCTGTCAAAATCGGATATTTGAAGTTAATAAGTTATACAAAATAATATGTTGTAATTCAACAAATATAATTATTAATTTGTACTAGGGACTTGAAACTTTTAATTCTATGTATATTATTATTTACTATAGGTATCATACATAATACAATTTAAAAGTATTTTGATTGATTTTCAGGTGTTTATACCACGAATCTATATTTACACAGTTATGTGGTATAGGTACCCTGGTTATTTATATTAGTAAAATTATTTAAAACAATTATAACTCGTAAAGTACACTTTAGTACATGGGTTTGTTTTTAGCTAAAATAGGTTCAATTCAATGATAGAAAAATAAATTTCCAATAGCAATATGAATATTTAAAAAAATGTCCTTAGAATTTATATAGGCTGGATATAGTATGTCTTCGTTTAGAATCCTTTTTACTTATATTATACTATGCAATTTATCATTGAATTCAAATTCAACACATCTGTGCGGTAATAGTGATCTACTCAATGAAGAAAGATACAACACTCGGCTCTTGTATAGGTACTATACAGCAGGGATACACTTCCCCAATTTTATAATTATTATTTATTAGACATCATTTAATAATATATTTAGTTAATACTCGTTGGCTATATGGGTACCTATGATAGGTATATAAGTAATCGGCTTCGAATATTGAACACTTGCAGTATTAATCGCACCCAGAAAAATATGATGTGTGAACACCCACTAAACATAGTATTATTATTGTGATAATATTATGTGAATTGGCGCATTCGAACGTGGGTAAGGGCCAGATGGGGGGGGGAGAGGAGGATCCGTCCTCAGTCTCTCACCATATTCTCTATGAGTTGCGGTCGGTGACGTCTGACGGTCTTTACGGCTTGGAAGACGTCTACTTCGCCGTGTTGGATCACTTGTTCGATACACGCATTCGCAGAGCAGTAAACACCGCACCTGCCCCTGCCATCGCTGAAACGATTCATACAAAGGTTAGAATGTAAAATAATTTGTTGAGACTTCCGGGACGAAATTTGAGCCATTGAACCACCCCTGAGTATGCGGTCAAAGAATCGATGGAGATGATTTTTGTTATTTTCGTTTTTTTTTTTATCATTATCAACACGTCATTGTATAAAAATATTATAATACACTCACTGCGATACGACCACGACGGGCCCGTAGTCGATCCTCTGTCTCCACCTTTCGACCATGTTCATGAGTTCGACCAGAGAGTTGGTGGATGTGGGCACCCTGTGGCCCAGAGGCCAGCAAGTGAGCTGAAACAGTTGGACGGTCCTCGGAGGCGCTTTTACACCGGCCATGAGTTCGGTGAGCGATACGATCTGCAAACGTATCGGACGATGATATAGTTATTATAACACACAGGTGGTAATCGTAATAATTATTAGGTGATAGTAGCGCGTGACGACGACGCCAGCACACCTTTTTGTTGATCCTAAACAGCCATGTCTTTATGTTCGCGTAGTGATTGTGAGATATATGATCGATGGTGAACACCGGACCGTATTTCTTGGAATGTCTACCTTCCGGCCAAAACGGAGGGTATTGTTGCTGCAAAAGAGCAAAACGTATTATATTAATAATACTAATACAATATTATATTATAATATCTTAAATTGTATAATATGATGAAAACCGACGACTTACAGAGTCTCTGGGCGGCAGGCAGAGGACGACAACGGCCGAACACTCATAATCGTACACGAGCGACCAAAAGTCGCCGGGCGTGTGTTTGAGGGGCCATTCAGTGACAATGTACTCTCTGGGCTTGGTGTAGCCCTGCGGAATGGAAAAATAAGTGACAATATAATAATATTATATTTTATATAGTGTACTCATTGGCGCAACTAAGTGGTGCAAAAGGGTCTTTAGCACCTCTTGTTTTTTTTAGGTCTAACTAGTTTTATTATAGTGAAATACCATCAATTTTCTGTTTTAAAAATATGAAATATTATAGCACCCCACGATTTATAGGTCTATAGTTGCGCCAATAAGTGTACATTATAAGAAAAACAGTTTGCGTCACATAATATATATATAATACATATACTGCAGTGGTTCCATGCAATTGGCATTGCGTCACGGGTCCCTAGTTAAAACTTAAATTATACCGGGGGCCACTTTTATCGTATAATATGCTCCATGCAGTAGCGCCGAACAAAATTTTGAATGGTCTGGTCAACAACCACCTCATTTAAATTTTACCCCACTCCAATATTAGTAAGTACCTATTATCATTTATAGTTTAAAGGATTAATTCACTCGTTACTCGTACACCACACCCGCACCACCCTACAAATTTGATCTGGTTATGACCAGATTTTAACCCCGAGTTAAGTGCCACTTGCTCCATGTAAGTTTCCAGCTTTATGCGGAAGTAAACATTTTTAACCCGCGTGTGTTGTCGGAGTTAAGAACTTGTACGGTTTAGACGTCCTGTCAAGCACATCCACCCGGACCCTTTAACATCGGACCACAAACCTATTGCGGAAACCACTGACAATATATATAATATACGATCAGTGGACAGTGCACACACACAGAGATTGTAATAGATGGATATTATATAATAGTATTATAGGTATACTTACGTCGACAAACACTGCGTTTATGTAGTCGGTAAACGTGTTGCCTTGGAACGAAGTCAAATACGGTCGGAAGTTGTCAGCTAAAGGGGAAAAAACCGACATGAGCAACAAAACGCAAAAGTTTTTCTAAAAAATTGACGTTGTATTTTATAATATTACGCGATCAAGTGCGTATACAACTTTTAAGTATAAAGTACAATAATTATAATATAGAGGTGCGATTTATTATTAAACTGTTATAATACTAACGCGGAACGATCAACACGTCTCTGTTCTTTTCCCGGTTGTCACCTCGATGACCGCCCGCGCAATCGCCGATCGTAAAACGTGGAGTCATCTTGCAGATTTGCTGAAAACACGCAAAAATTACAATATTATGCATTATATTAATTTAATTATTTTAAATTTGGTCTTGAAAAATGTGTGTGCGTGTTTGAAGTAAGCCAGTATATTATAGAGACGGTATTCTGTGAATGAAACCCTGCAGTCTGCACCTACGTATAGACGTATATAGTGAGTGCCCGAGAGGATTATGACTTATGAGAGATGTTAAATTTGACACTACTACACGTCTATATAATATATTGTAATATATATTGTTTAAGGTGCATATTTTACAAGCATTCTCATAATATTGATTATCATTGATTGCTATTACAAACAGCGCAACTGATAAAGTTGAACCTCAAAGAACACCGTTTAGTTTGTCGGTAGAATACGTGCAATATAAAATAAAAAGTAATATTTCATTTGAAAATCTCTATTGGTTAAGAATCAGCAGATACCTATTTAACATTTTTGCCACACTCAATTAATAATGTCCCAGAGCTGGTAATACCCGGCACTGAACACCTTATAAGGTTTAGTCAATATCATATACTTAAGAATTGTATTGATTTTATCTATTTTAGCCTAGGTATATTTTGACGGTATCATATTATAATATAGTGTTATAATGGAAATAAAAAAAAACACTTATTATTATATACCTGGTACTCTCTCTGGTATTCGTTGAGCTTGGTCTCGATGTCCTTCATGGACTTTTGTTTGAGTTTTTGCGAAAGTTCTTTGACGGGAAACCACGAAAACCCGCAAAGCACGAACTCCTCCAACGTGTCGTATATGAATTTGTATTGGTTCTGGTTTTCGAGCACGCACGAGTAGCGACAAACAACCACAACACATATTAAGTTATTATTTATACCATATTAGTATATATATAGAAAAGCTACAAGTCTTTTCGCAGGCGCTCTGTATTAAAAAATATACCAAGTCACAAACCTCATGCCACTTCAAAGAAATATTGTTTTTGGATGACGATACAGTCAATACAGTATAATATAGTAGGTATTATGGGTAATAATATGTTATGCAAAGTAATGAAATTAAATTTTGAAATAAATGTCACTTATGTAGGTTTGTGTAGTGATTTTATTTGAACGAACGCCCACGTAATGCTGTAAATCGACGTGAAATGATTGTTACGTGCAGAAATTGAGAAAATATAATAGGAATGCGTATGTAGTACGATTACCAGTGTCTCGACCATTCCTTTTCTGGACTGTCTGAGCGTTTTCAAATAGCCGAACACGTCGTAACAGTCTTCCTCTTCGGCGAGTTCCAGGTTGGCATCGATCGACAGATAGACGCCGGAACGACCACCTCCGTCACTGTGAAAAGACAATTAGTCCCTCGTACAATTATCAGTAAACATTATTCACATCATCATAAATTCATAACGTATAATATGATCGGCGTGATGTAAAACAAATCACGAGTACGCCTTTTGTACACGTAGGTATATACTAAAATAATGATATAAAGACCTTATTAAAAACTTTTTTATCACTTCGTTCGAAATAGATGTTTTCTCTAAGCCCGCTTATTATATGCAAATCAAGTACCCACGAGTATAATAATATAGTCTTTACTCTTTATAAAGAAGGTAGTTTTTGAATAATTCTCGAAACAGGTACCTACTTTTGAACTTATGATAAATCACGAAAATCGTACACGTTACACACGCATTTTACAAGATAAATTTCAATTATGATGCCAAAAAAGTACTTTGAAATTTTATTTGTGAGATTCTAATTTTAGAATTTTTTTTAAATATGTAAAAATGTATAAATAATATCTAGTAGATAATTATCGAGTTTATGGATTCTCAACTTTGGTTTGATCGTTGATTCTCAGAATATATAGTTGGATAATCGTCTGATATCTTATAAGTATCCACCTATCGGTCCCGTGGCGCAACTAGGGCTAAAAGGTTGGGGGAAGGGTTGTAGCTTCTACCTGATATACATGAAAACTAACCCGTGGGGACGTTGCTCCCCAGACCCGACATAAATATTCACTCACAAATATAAAAAAAATTATGCAAAAAAATAAGACAAATATTTATTTACTCGAGTTTAATTTTTCACAATAATAATACTATACTGTCTGTATATAATATTTCAGCGCATTTACTGTACAATTATGTATAATAATCGTGACACGTACCGACAAAAATATTGTTTTCTTAAAAACAAAATATACAGGCGTACGGCTAATAGTGTTTACCATATTTATCATAAATTCATAATACAATATAGGCAATGCTTAAAATAATTATGAAATTGAAATAAAAATATTAAACTATTAAGAATTACAGTTGAGTTTTAAAAGGTTTGTTGTAGGATAAACAATTCTTACAGTATGGCAATACCATTCACTCGATCAATCGCACCGCAGCCACTAAATTAATAATATACTCACTTGCAGTGGACTACGATTGGATTGTCGTGTTGCAGCCGGGAACCAACGACTGCTCTCATTCTTCGCCTGAACTCCAATATCGCGTTCGAGAACGGACAGGTGTGACATGGCCATTCTGTATAATGGAACTGAAGTAGAGTCCGGGTTTCTTCTTCATTCTGCAGATATATGAAAGCATGAGTTTATTTTTATAATTATAAAACGCACATATTGTGTTAAGGACTATTAAAGCCTATAAAGCCCCCCTCCCTATTTGCGCCAATGACGATCAGCCTGCACTAGAACAGCAGGGCATAATAATATTATTATTTGGACGGAAAGTAGGACGTAACCGCTTCCCCCGAATCGACGATGTGAAACCAAAGTTGTAGTCAATCAAAAAATAACAGAAATAAACTCACCGAATAACCTACATAATATAATAATAATATGTATAGTCGAATAACGCCTTAACAACGACTCGCCGAACACCTAAACCCTATATACCTACCGAAATTTACAAGCTATAACAACAACAATATCAATTAATAATGTAATGTTATTTATTTTTCCTGTAATAGACAGCTGCAGTATTATGTTTAAACACTGAATGTGGGCCAAAAACGACAAAAACAGCTGAGGCTTTGTTTTTCTAAACATGTATAATAATACAATAGAATAGTAAAAAATAATATAAACAAAGTGATTAAAAAAAAAGTATCCACTAAATATTTATTAAAAAACGGATGGGGATTCTCATATGAAAAACCAAAACTTGTATTGATACTGTCGTAGATCACTCCTTAAGCAGTATACAAAAAATCTCAAGAATTTGAACATAATATTATGGTCTTAAGTACGTTTAAAAATTGCAAAAATCAGAATTTAAATAAAAAATGCATGATGTTAATTAACAATATTAAATTCTTAGTGGAGCGATGAATGATGTGTGTTTTAATTTTTTATTTATTGTGTCTGAAGACATTCCCTAGAAGAAAAAATGCTCTCAAAGCTTCAAGGGAGGTTTTTTGGTAGTACATTGAATTTAGTTTGTACTTTGGTAGGTCAAAAGTAAGAAATTTTCAGTTGGTATATTTTAATATAAACTGGAGGGGGATACGAATATTTGTTGAAATTGTAATATTACTATCAAAATAATTTTTTGGTGACCGTGGTTACGCTCAGAACCGTTTTTCATCGTATACAATTATTATTACAATGATAAACGGTTTATCGACACATCCATTACGACAGTGACCTACGTACTCAACGACGAGGCACACTTGACACCTACAACTGTACCTTAGAGTACCTGTACCTACTATATAGACGGGCTTATATTTATTTGGCTTTCTTATCATTTCGAGTCAATATTCTATGGCAGATAACATAAATTACCGAAACACGTCACGCGTACCTACGCATATTCGGCGAGTTTTACAAAACGTTTATTTCCCAAACGCTCGCGTTATTTATTATTATTAAAAATAAGATACTTTAAACTAATGACAGCAACGCGACACCGTCATACTATATAGTTATACACTATACGCATAATTTCTGGCTTATTCACACGGCGGCTTTCGTGTTTTATAATAACGCTATACAGCAGGAGACTTGCGTAGGTGTATAGCCTATATTATATATACTATATGGGCCACACCAAATGACGAAGGTTCTGTGTCGGTAGGTAATAATGATAAAGATAATACATTATATTCAATATTGTTAACTGGGTTGAAATAACAAAATACTGTACAACGTCGACGTGCGAACGAGTCGGACCGGAAATCAAATTAAAATCGAGCACATGTATATAATATAGGCAATAATATAGGCAGGGCTTGAAACCGTAAATATTTTTTCCGATTTCGATTTCGATTTTATTTTCGGTATCGGTTTTTAACGGTTTAACCGGTATTCAAAATCGGTATCAAATATCGGTTTCAAGTCCTGCACAGTGGTATAGCGTGTGTTATCGCTCATATACATCATACGGTTATAACGGGTCATTTGCACTCACCGTTCCTTGTTTTTTGACCACTTGTATGGTCCTGATGTGAAAATTGGCTAATTCTTCTTCGTGCAACACTGATATATTGAGATCGCCGTAGTTTTCGCTGTTCACCTTGGCCGACGGCCAGTACTGTATGCACATAACCTAGGGCGAGGAACAAGCGAGTGAGACTTCCGCCGCGTATAAACAAACGGAAACCGCTGTCGGACGGACTATACACACACAAACCTTGATAAAGTCGAAAGTCTTGGTCAACATGACGATGCAACACGCGTTTTCTTGCCATATCATGCGCCAAAAATCGTTGACCGTGTTCTCGGTGGGTCCCTGCGTGACGATGTAGGCGTTCGGTTTCAACAGGCTCTGAAATCGGGTGCAATAAAAGACAAATAAAATAAATCGAGTGTGCTGAAGAAGTGCGCTGTTGAATATTATAATATTGGGAAGTCTGAGCAGTGCGCGTGTACCTATAATAATATAGCAAAGTGCCTAAAATAAATTATAAAACACAGCTTATTTATTAGCACGCGCCGCGAATGGTTTTATGCGCAATTTTCTGGTCGTTGCGATTGTATAATATAATATTATAATTACGATTTACGACCAATTTAATGATTTCCCTTTTGCCATGATATTGCGATGTTACGGGTGTATTTCATATCGATAAACTGCATTTTTTTTTTGTTACCAATATCTTTATTGTTAGGCACTACACAACGAATTGCAGGCTTCATCCAATTAATTGACATATTGATAATATGTAGGTAATATTATTATACTGTGTGTGCAATTTGCATATAGAGAAGTCGTTGCAGCTTTATTTTATACAGATAGTGTTAAAAAACTCTCGAGACTGTAATTGGACCACAGTTATAGATAATAATATATTTTATCCATATATCTGTGCATTGGACTATAATATAATTAGAACTGATGAGCAAATGCCCCCTATGCCTCCCTGGATCCGCCACTGGGTTATAATATGATATAATTAATGGGATAAATAAATATCTTACCTAATAAATGAGCAACAGTGTTATCTGTTAATTGTTATTGCTATATCATGTAGGTGTAAAAAATAAAAATATGCAAATAACCATTAAAGCGAGTTTCATAATGTTTGAACACCTTGTATACTTATTAGTATTATAAGTAGCAAACATAATATTGTATTAGGTAGGTGTATTGTTTTTTGTATTACATAACACGCGGTCAAACAAAACGCGAAAACTGGTCATTAATCATATTTATTGACATCGGGCTTTATCGATTTGTACACACTGCAGACTGCAGAGTACACACATTTTGAGTTAAATCTCGAAATTTTCAACATTACAATATGATGTTATTATAGTTAACAACTAGGTGTAATAATCAACATTTTTACCGTTTCGATTTTATAGGTTAGTTGAACATTGTTATGATGAATAGGGACCAGCAAATAACAGATAAGTTCCTACTGTCTAGTGTCTAGTGTCACCTATATAAATAGCAATGATAACTTGGTTTGAGGTAAATTCGTAAATTTATAACTAAAATCAGATGTAATAACTTGATGTTGCGATTTGTATTTGTCATCATATTTAAACAATTCAAAGATATAGAAAATTAATGTCTAAATTTTTAATCATTGTTATTAAATGTTTTCCATGTATATTATTTCATTATTATCACTTCTTGTTAATCTACTAATTATTACAATGTATCTGTAAAATTGCCGTTTGGCGTTAAATAAATAAATAAATAAATTAAATTTAGTCAATATTATAAGTTATAAGTACTCGTATTATAACTATAGCAATACTATAGCTTACAGTCTAGTGGTTTTCAAACTTTTTATATCTGCGTACCACCTACCCAGTTTAAAAATGTTTATGTTCCTCTTGACTAAGTAACATTTTTTTTTGCTTTTCAAAAATTCATACTTTATTTTATATATAAGGAATTTTATTTTATTATAACTACAAAGTTATGATAATATGGGCATTTAATGCACAAAAAGAAAATTAAATATGGTGTGCAATTATTATTTATATCATATTAATATCAAACAAGCCAAATAATATTTAATAGAATCCATTGATTATTCCATTTTTTTTTATAAAGGGAGATTTTCTTTGGATATCACATAATATTAGTCTTTTACACATCACAGGTTGAGAACGCTGGTATAGACCATATACTATAGACTAAACTACTATAGACATATCCGGCCCATAGGCGCACATAGGGGGTTGTTTGGGGGTGCTTAGCACCCCCAAGCTTCAAACTAGCACCCTCAGTTTATTTCAGTATTTCACCAATAATTTATAAACTATCGTGGTTTATTGGTTCGGAATTTTTCTTTTCATTACAAATATTGACAATTGTTTACGAATTCACGAATTCATTTTTTTTTTTTTTTGTCTGTCATCATCTTTTAGGACAGTAAAAGTGCTTTAATTTTCTTCAACAGTATCTTTTCTGATAGGGAAGTGAATCTAGTTGGTACTTTGAGGGGGTCAAAAGCAAAAATTTCACAATAGTTTTCAAAAGCGCCGTGAAAAACAAAAGAAAAATTAAGGAAAAACGGGAATTTTTACTCAAAATCTGTTTTCAAGAAAATTGATTTTGGTTGTTGGTGTAACTTTAAAACAAATGACCGTAGATATATGAAATTTTCACTGGTTATTTATATTTCAATTTTCTATACATGATAACATTTTCTAAATATTTTGAGTTATTTTGAGCTTTTTACGGACATTTTTAGTATCCTTTTTTTTTCTATAAGTACCAATAAAATTTTATTTATTGGGTATAAAAGCTTAAACATTTAATAGAAGGCTCCTAATATATTGTTTCAAAGACAGATGAAAAATATTAAAAATCCTTAGTCACAGTTTTTTGTTATAAGCATTTAAATTCCAAATATTGACAAAATACGTGAAAATGACGAAAATTTGCAAATTATTTCGAGTTAGAAATTCATAAAAATTTTTCTTTTTAAATCTAAGATATGAAAATGTAATGCAACATTCCTCATAAGTTTGTCTACCTTTATCAAAAAAAAAAAATATCTACAAGAATCTCAAATTAAATTTTTATGAACGTTTGAAATTCATATTTTTACAACATTTATAAATATTGATTTCTACATAATACATAATACATAATACTCGATTTCTCATGTAACGATTTTCTAATTTGGTTGTAATTAAAAAACGAATGACTGTAGATACTTGAAAATTTTACTAAATTTTTATATTATCATTTCCTATACACCATATAGTTTTGAAAATATTTTGAATCTTTTTGAGCTATTTACGGACATTTTCAGTTTTCAATTTTTTTAATTTTTTTTCTATTCATATCAATAAAATTTTATTTGTATGGTAAAAAAGCTTGAAAATTTAATGCAAAGCTCCTGATATATTGTTACAATAACACTTGAAAAATATTAAAAATACATAGGTACAATTTTTTTTTATAATTATTTAAAATTCAAATTTTGACAAAATTTATCACATTTAAAATTTAATAATAATTTTATAGTCAAAAATTTATAAAATGTTCAACTTTTATAGCTAATAATTGAGAATTTAAAACAAGATTCTACGTAAATAGGTTATATATAAATTGCTTTATTCACCTTAGTATCATCAAATATACTTAGTAATATCATAGGCTGACTAACCGTCTTCGCTCAGAATCGTTTTTCTTATACAATGATGTTAGTATATCATTGAATTCAAATTTAATACCATCGATTATACAGTGACCCACTTGTACCCTACTGTACAGCAGAGTACCTTTTTTTGTTTATCAAACTTAAATAACTTTTATTTTGGTTTTGATATCGGAAATATAAAAACAAAGTTACAGAGTAAATTTTCTCATTTTTATAGTTTGAACATTTAGTTTCTTAGCTTAGAGTAGAGCCTGAATGTTTTTTTATACCCGTGCAAAACAGTTTTGCCTATGTTGTACCTACGTCTGTAATACGGAGACAACACATGTGGGTGTACCTAGCGTCTTCTTTACAATCATACAGACTATTTGATACATTGCACTTTAGAAATTATTGTATACACTATACAAATAAAATCTAATGCAATACAGAAATATTAGGATTAGGGGGGTGTGGGGGGCAAAGCCCCCCACGGATCTGTGAACTATAAATTATCCCAGCACCCCCTAAATTCACCCCCAATGTTCGCCTATATGTCGTAATCGTTTTTTTTTCTTATTGAAATTCACGCTAATATGGCCCTGCAACCTGCAGGTATAGTTATATCATACATAATTGCAGATGAATAACTAAGAATTACATTATTTTAAATACTCATACAACTCGCCAGTCGCCAAACATTGTTTTTTTTAATTTAAATCATTTTTTAGCAATATAATTAGTTAAACATGACTAGTTAGAAATAAGGGATGGATTCTGATTGGAAATTCACATTGTTGACTTGATCGGGTGATTACATGAGATAGTGGTAGATCTAAACTTACCATGAGTTACGACTCACGCAAATTATTAATAATACATACGTGAAAAGATGGAACATTGAAGTTTATAGCTTATAGAAATTCGGAGGAATCTACTGATCCATTAATTAACTTCCGAAGGAAGCTTACATTTATTTCATAGTTCACGTCTATCTGCCGACGAGCACAAGTTAAGCCTACTCAATACAGGAAGTGAGGTAGGTGATAAATATTTAAATTATGGAGGCATCAAAACTCAATAATTTGTGTTGTACCTACTCATTTGACCGGACTTTAGACACACCCACACACACACACACACTAACACAGTTTAAGGATCCTACACAACCGTTCAATTATTTCGAAATAGATAATAATAGATAAAATATATAAATAGAACTCGTAAATGCAATATTATACCGGTGCCCAAATACTACCCCTAAATTACCCCTTATAACTACAATATCCACAATTTTATTTATACCTAAAAACAAAAAAAAAATTTTCTGAGAACAGCATTAAAAGTATTTTTTTCTAGAAAGATATTAATTCTAATTCTATTAGAAAATCGATGGGTGTGGGGCGAATAGGTTCCTATTTTTATTATAATATAACTCTTTCTACCTATATTATATTGGATTTCGGAATTAAATGGCTGCAGGTTTGCTGTGCCTCTGAAAATGATTATCTGTACCAAACTATGTGATGTGTAAATAAAAATTAAAAACAAAGCTTCTAGAAAATTCGATTATTTTACATGTATGTATGGTTTAACACGATTGAGTTGACAA